GGAGGGCTGTGAGGGAGGGGCACAGGGAGAGATTCAGCCCTTACTGGATCATTTCTGGAATAGCATATCCAGTATTTTGATTTTTCTCCAACTCCTTCCCACACCCCTACAGACCACATCTATGCTTTTGGTGATTGGTTGTGTATTGGGATTAGATTTTGGTTCTGAATTGATAGACCAGTACATAAGGAACTGATCTAAAACCCCTTCAGATTCATGGGAGGCTGGATATCATACAACTCTGTCTTAGGCCTCCCGTAAGAGTTTTTTTATGTGCAGGAGGCAGAGGCAGATATAATCATATTTTACTATACCTCTAGGTTGCAAATGTCAGGAACATGTGACCCTGGAAGAGGTCATTCAACAAAACCACCAAAATGTAACACATTCCTCACAACTTCACTGATTATTATTATACATTGTTGACATCAGGATAAAAATATATCTGGGGTTATATAAATTTTCAAATATTAAAAAAACCCTAATCCTACATAATTTGCTGTAGTTTTTTGTTGGTCCTTTTGATCAACTGCCCAACCCTTTAAGTGCATAAATTAAAGAACAGACTTTAATGACTAAAAGACTAACACGCTAAATTTATATAGCTTTTCATTTATTGTAGAAAAAAAGTTTTTTTTTTTAATGCAGCTCATTTTGTACATCTAAATTCCATAAAACAAATCCATAGAAATCAGGATACTGTACGCATGCATTCCGCATTTTCTTTGTTAAATGTTTCTTTTCACAAAAATAACAACACTTTTTTCCTTGAAAGCCACTAAAGCAGAGGGAGAGCAAAACATGCAACACTGTACACATTTGCATAGTATATTTTACCCAGCATGCCTTGTAGAATGCTACACATACGGTATCTATAGAAGTAAAAATAGGAAGGGGCAAATCAGCAACAACAAAAAAAAAAATTCAGTAAAGGCAATAATTCTTTACCATAATGAGCCTGAGCTAGTTCCCATTAATGTAACTGGCAAAAATCTGACAAACAGAAATGGGAACTAGTTTGGCCAATAGTTAGAGACTTACTGGAAGATAAAAAAGCCCAAGGTCCATGGCTCTGAATTTGAATGATTGTTTTCACCATGTTACCTGGCCATATCAATTTTTAATGTACAAACAGGATTTTATTTGATCTGATTCTTCTCCAAAACTATGCTTCAGCAATTGAAATTCCTCTAATGCCATCTGTGCATGAGAGGAGAATCAGGCCAGTTTCAAAGTTATACAGACGTTGGGCCTGAGCATATGTTCCTTGTTTAAAGAAAACTTAGTGATTTCACTGGGACGTTGGGGTGAGCTAGCTTGGACCCCTAAGTAGCATTTACATGTTTAATTCCCTGCCCCCACCATAGCATTAAAGTATGCAAAGGCAAAATGGCATTTTTAGCTCAGAAGAGTTATATTTCATTTCAAACCGTGGTCAACAAACATACTATTGGTATATTTGCTAAAGCAAGATAAACGAGTGCTAATTATTCATTCATAGTCATTTCCAGTTTGGGGAGAAAAATAGGAGTAGTTTTATATTCCCAATGTTGAAGGTTGATTTTATTTTTTATTTTGTTAACATGGAGGGAATAGCATTTCATGGACAAATTAAATTACAAATGCAAACTGCAAGGCTCTGAAATAAACTGCTGGAAAAATTTTAAGCAACAAGTTAAAGTAAAATGCAGTAAATACAGTAAAACTGGATCAATATTCTATTTGTCTTTTCAAAAATACAATGCCAAATGTAACAATGGATTTCTTGTAAATTTGTGCTGTTACAAATGTGCTTTTCTTTTGCTCTATTTTCATATTATTGGCAAAATATATATATATATAATTTTGAACTGTACAATATAATTTCTCGCTACATTACTTTTCTAGTGCTAATATAGAGTAGAAGTAGTAACAAAGGGGTATTTTGGCAATAGAATACTCTCTTTTTAATAATATTCCAGAAAATATTTGTAAGGCATGTGATAAATTGTGTTTAACATTAACAGCCAGAGCTTGCAAATACTTACTACAGGGCTTAATGCTAATAAGCTATGATCAGTAGTCAGTGTTTGCAGGATCTGACCCTAAAAAGTGTACAGATAGTAGCTCATTGCTGAGAAATTCTAGTGGCAATACTAAAAAAGGCAAATGTACTATACAGCACTAATAAAAGAGCCAAAAGGCATCAGTGGTTATTCTCATCTTTACCACTATAATTTAAAAAGAAAAAGCTACCAAATGTACCTAAAAAGGAATCAGAAACTCTCATTAAGGTATTTTTCTTTAATTATTTCTACTTTCTTCCAAAATACTTCCCTACTGTCAATGGATTTGAAATAAGAAGGAAGTTTCCTAGACTTGTTAAACATATTTCATAAATCAGAAAAAACATGTTTGTTTCCTTATTTATAATATAATTTATGTCCTAGATAGAGTATTCATTTTTGTGTCCAACACTTTTTATTCAGGCATCTTCTCTAGTGTTATCAAAACGTACACTTATTTTTCAGGACAAAATAGATTGAGGTTAGATAACAAGGCTCATTTGAATAGTTGCTTATATTCTCTTTTGGCACCAAATGTAAAAGAGCAGAAAATACCTTTTACCAAATTTGAACTTGGGTTAGTTACTAAATTTTTTAGTCCTATTACCATCAGTAGAACTACTGTTTATTTCAAGGCATAAGAGATTACAGAAACAAAATAGATCATAGCAGAACCCCATTTAGACAAACTAATCTTGCATGTTGGGAAACATAACTCAGTTTCACATGAAGGGTTTGTTTCTGGATAAAAGAAGTTTGCATAAATGAGCTTCTGCCGTGCATAATTTTGCCTCCAATTTTTCATTCACTGGTCAGAGTAAGTACTCTTTGACTGAAAAAAAAAATTAAAAACCAACACAAAATCGGGAACAGATTTTGAAAGCATCGATCCAGAGATTTAATAAATGTGAGCAAGGGACACATTTCATTTATTCCTAAATAGAGCAAATGACCTCATCCAATAGCCAACAGTCCTTGTTTATTCAAATCACCATACAATAAAATAATTCAATGTGTGATTCTGATAATGGCACAGAGGAACATTATTATGCTGAGGTGCTGAGACCCTGGGAAGTTCAGACTGGAACGCTGTAAAATTGAGACTAGGCTGAATTTAGATTGTCAGCAAACTGAACTTGAAGCTCTAGGCCTACGCACACCAAGGGTAACTATCATTATCTTGCATTTCTATAGCAGCAGCTAGCTTGTGGCACAGAAGAAAACTGCCATAAGCGCTCACTCTCTACTAGTTTCTTGTTCTTATAACTACAGTATCTTCCTCCCTATTTAAATTTTTAATTCTTAAAAATACTAGTTAAACCATTTTAAAAATGCAAGGGGCAAAGGAAGGGTGAAAACACCCAAATATCTGTAATAAAAGGAGCTTTAAAACCTGGGGAAAACATAGTAAAATATATTTCCACATGCAGCAAAGCCAGTACTAATGGTCTGAATGTGATTATTGACAGGTATGTATACTGAAGACATGAGCTTCATCCTAGGCTCAGCTGCACTGCCTTGCATATAGGACTTCAACAGTGTAAATCAGAAATATGAGAGACTAAAATGAGCTCATGGTTCCCTAGCTAAGAGGTAGCATAAATAGCAAGAGGTACAACACCTGCTACAGAAACTATACTTGCTTATTGAGCACAAAAATAATTAGCTTAGGGTGCAACTTCTACTGACACCTATGGGACTTCTGAGGATAAAAATTAGATTTACAACCAAAAGTAACTAAGAACTTTTAAACATAGTAACCAATTAAAAGGGAATTTGCTTTTGAAAATCATGGCATGATATAAACCAGACGATTTGGTTAAAATTGCTGAAAAACAACTTTAACAATTATTTCCTATAGTAGTATATCAGTCAGAAAATTTAGTCAGTTTACAATTACACACCTGACTGGAAAAATGTTCAATTGCATAAGTAGTAAAAGAGGTTAACAAATCTGTAAAATACAATTTGCCAAAAAAAAAAAAGGTGGAGAATAACCATTTATTTCCTTATAAATAGTTTCTACATTTAAAAAATCATGTGTTATTCCATTACAAATGAGTGCATTGATGCATACTGTCTATGGATGACCATGCCATTAAGATTGTCATATCAGCACTAAATTTAGCATATCAGCTAAGTTAACATTAAGCACAAAATGTTTTAAATAAAAACCACTTATAAACATAACAAAAATAAATGTTATACACATTTCTAAAAGATCTGTGTAGAATTTGGAGTTTAGCAACAGAATCCTGATCATATTATAATACTAATGAGAGATGGTATCAGTATTGGAAAAAATACTCTTATTTCTATTCATTCAGGAACCCACGAACTTCATAACTTCACATAAAACCATACTATAATAAATCACAGGATGTTTGGTTACCATCGTGGAAGTTCTAATATATGGTTTATGCTGTGGATTTAAATGTCCTGAATCAACATTGCTGCATTTGTTTCTTTTGTTTCTTAAAAATAATGTATTTTTTTAAAAAATAGAATTTATCTAGAATAAAATGTATTCCTGTTATTATTTGATATGCTGTTTTACTTGAAGGGTGAGTCCCCTGCAAAAACCAAGAAAACTATCAAATTCTGTTGGATCATTTATAACTGGGATGGGAGGGAAATAAATCAATTACGTACAAAGAAAGGGTAAATCTAAACCTACAGAATTAAGAAAATTTCAAAATTTTCTTTCAAGACAATAGTACATGACTCCCTTCAAAAAGGTATTTTCATAAGAACATTAAAACAAAGCGGTTTTGGCACTTGAGACAATGCAGTTGGTGGATTTTGTGCATGTGTGTTCTGCGGATCTTTCCCTTTACTAGCATGACATGGAAGACTTAAACCAAGGCTCCAAAGGCTTTAAAAAATAAATGATATTTTTGTCTTTGAAATGATAAAGCAGTAATCTTGTTTGCTAGAAAATATATATAAGTGCTGTTGCAGCTTCCTGCCATAAAATGCAAATATCTTCAAGCAGTTAATGATCTGATCTCTAATGCTACTACAGAATAAAGATAAACAAGCTGTCTAATCTAGGTTTATACATCTCAGTGCATTCTTTGCAATTAATACTTTAATGCACACAAACAAGAAACTGTTAAAGCTTATAGAAGAATGTTTTGCCTAATGCCTTCTTTCTCATGCAGATATGTGTGCTGTACATGTAACAAAGACTTGTAAAAATTCCTGGAGAATGCTCCCCTGTGCTATAGCATAAAAGGTGAGAAATGGCAGCCTATGCCACCATTCCTGGACTTGTTCCTGTAGCAGTTGCTCAGACCAAACTCCCTGAAATCTACAGGAGTTTAGTCTGGAAAACGGCAGCAGTTCAGGCCCTATAGGTTCATTCTCAACACAGTTATTCCAGTGGATGCAGATATTTTATATTTTAGCCCAATTTCATCATCTAGTGATCTTTAACCCTTCTTTTAGACAGTAAACCAGTCAGAAAAGGCAATGTTGCATCCACTATCTTTTACTGCTGCTAGAGATGTACATTATTTTTGGTTGTACAGATATGAGATGAATTGTATTTCTAGTTGTTAACATCAAGCAGGTAATCAGGCTCAATGGTGGGGAAAAATATTAGAAGTATCTTTATTAATTGGTCCAGAAAGTAGAAGACATCATAATGTTCAGGAAATGTATTTAGTGCTACATGCTTTTATAGCCTGTCAGGAGGCTTTGGGAATAAAACAGGCAAATATAAAAAGTAATTACTTTCATCTTCAAAAAATAGCTTTGACATGAACCACCATAAAAAGATCTTTTACGCATGGTTCTGTCAATTTTAGAAAATGCATGCAGTGTGGAATTTTAGAAAGAGTCTTTGCTTAAAGACATCAGAGTGTTGTATAAAATGGTCAATTATGATAATTTTTTCAATTATATTGGATCTAAGGCTTCGTTGATCATCTAAGACATAAGGTCTAATTACATAAATGTATTCTCTTTTAAAAAAAAAAAAACAAAGACTGGTAGGTGAAAATAAGTTTTCATTAGAAGTAAGGCAGCTATATTTCCAAAGACTTTAACATAGTTCTTTGAATTAAAAATGTTAGTTTTATAACTTTATAGTGAGCAGAAATTTTCTCATACTCAATTCCATTTTTATTGCAAGCTATTTCTATCAGATCCTTCTTTTCAAAACATTCAGAATTTATTAGTATTTTAAAAAACAAAATATCTGATGTCATCATTAAAATCTAATGTGAGGTTATTACAGAGTTCTCATGTGATGCTAGAATTTGCAAGCATTCAAAGATGGATGGCGAAATATGTAATGTGAAGGGACCCAGCAGTCCTATATATGCAGTAAACATGTGGGAGGATGAATCAAATCTCACTTGACACAGTAACATATTGAGAATAGGAGAAGTGTTACATCTCTACAGATTAAAACTGCATTTCTGGGAGTATGTACTAGTGCTCTGGTGATTAAAAGAAGACAGCCATCTATTCTCCAACTCATATCATTCAAACAAGGCTTGGATTTCTCCATTCTTACTGTTCTCTGTCATACTCCCAAAGTTCATATCACTATTGGGACCACAACAGCAATATCAGTACTAAGCAAACAAAATACATCAGTTTTTGCTGCAACATTTTTGCCAGGATTAAAAATAAAGATAATTTCAAACCAGAAAGTAGTTTGTAACTGATGCATTAATTTATAATATTTGGCATTATGGAAGGTTTATATTTGGTTAGCCTAAAAGAGCCATTCTGGTAATGTATGTGTATGTTAACATGTTTAAATTGTAACCTTAAGTGTAAATTTAGCTTCCAGCAATCAAATACTGTAGCTGATTTTTGGCTTACAGTGATTTTGTAATTTTCAGTTTTTTTCATTTTCACTTTTTTCAATTGATTTGCAACATGCTCAAGTAGACTTTCCAGTCAATTCACCCGAATTCCAACAGGAATTGGTTTATAAATCGGTTCCAACTGGAACTGGTCATTTGGAATTTCCAGCACAGGAAATTATTCTATATGTGCCTTGATAAAGTACCCTAAATTACAAACTGACGTGTCTAATATCTAATGAGGAGAAAAGGTGCTGCTATAAATGCAAATGCTCTACCAAAAAGAAATCCTATGTGACTGGGCAAACTAATTTCCTCCTAAACATAAGGGCACGGTGCATTTTTGCCCATTTTTAGCATCAAATGACAGCAGCTTGTAACCTCAGTAAAACTGTGTTACAGCTGCTTAATTAAGATGATTTCTTTGTCCTACCTACATTATGGCAACTAATGAATACTATTTTTCCCCAGGTTCTTAAACTCAAAGCCTATGTCGTGAATCATGGCTATATCCTCCAGGGGATCCTCGATTCCTATGGGGTTTGTAAGTGTCCTGATACGAGTCAGAGTACTCTTCTTCCACAAGTGGGTAATGATCTCGGCTGTGTTGGGAACTGGAAGACAAGCGGTTCCTGCTCTTCCGAGCCCTTTCATTGTGATAATTTTCATCAGAGGTCATTAGACTTCTTCGTTCAATTGGAGAGTTCTCTGTAGAGTGGTTGCTATGCCTCGTACGCTGGCTCTACGGATGTCAAAGGACCCAAAGATTAATACAAATATGATTTCATTTCTCTAGCTGTAAGTCAGTTATGAGGTTTGGTTTGAGGACTTTCAGAATCCATCCACTTCTGTAATCTTTTTTAATACAGT